CTCCCTCCCTCCCTCTCTCTCTCCTCTACTTCATTGTCACATCTCCATCTCTTACTCTAGCCCTCCTACCTCCCTCTTATAAAGACCCAGTGGTGACATCAGGCCCACCCAGATAACCCAGGATAATCTTCCCATCTCAAGAACCTTAATTTAATCATATCTGCCAACTCCCTTTTGCCATATAAGGTGACATATTCACAGGCCCTAGGGACTAGGACATCTTTGGGGGGCCATGATTCAACTTACCATAAGGACTAATTGAAAACGAATCAGCAGTCTATAGGTTATTTATTTGGTAGTTTGAGCATAACAGTGATATTAATTACGGGGCGATGGGAGAACTGGAGGGTTCCCGTAACGCACGAGCCCTCCCCTCCCAGAGTCGTAGGAAAGCGTCCCTGGGAAAGTAGCAAAGAGGTGATATGTGTATAGTGCGGTTGCGGGGAGGGGACCAGAGGGGCCATCAGCAATGGACCGGTCTGGCTGAGGGAGAAACCACAGCTTAGAGTATTGAGAGCATAGCTAGATGGTTCCTGAATGGGATGGAAGCTGAGTGCCACGTGGAAGAATTCAGATTTGATGCACAGTGATGGGAGGCTGCTGTAGCTAGCATTGCAACACAGTATTACATAACATAATATTGACATAAATTGTTTCATACTTTATGACCAACTTGATTATAACTCAGAGAATCAAAATCAGAAGCAGGCTTGAAAAAAATGAACAGAAAGCCTAATGAACAGGAGGACAGGAACAGGTTGTAGAAACCCTTGTAAGGAGCACTTGAGGAACATGCTAGAAAGTCTGAGAGAATCACTGTGCGTGTTGCCTAAGAGATTGGAAGCGGTATTCTGGGGGACAGGATCCTCCAGCGTCCCCACCAAACGAAATGTCCACAGGCCAGGGGCGTAAGAGAAGCCAGGCTGACCTGGGTTCTGTGAGGTCGGTCAGAACCCAGGCCCTGTACTCCTTCATGTACTGCCATTCAGGAATTTCATCTTTCATAAGAGAACCTTGCTTCTCTGGACTTCGTTGTTTAAGGTACCTGGGACGTGGGAAATCTCGAACCCATTACACCTTGTCACGGGCTGCGGAAACTCAGTAAAGGTTAATTAGTGCACATTTATCCCTATGCGGTATATTTTCATCTCCTAAAACTTTATCGCCACCAATATTCCTTACTTATTGATCCGTTTTAATTTTTCTTATGCTCTATGGCTCGGTTCCAGAAAAGAGCAGATCCGTGGTGGGGATCAGACGACAGCTAGTGTTTAGGCCAAACCAGAGGCAGTCCTTTCGCGACGGAAGAGGAATTTTCTTCTTAGATGCAAGATCTAGGGAGTTTAGGGACTGTTGAGATTAAAGATTAAAGCTAACACATATTTGAGGTTCTTTTCTTTAACCACTCAGTAATGATAAAAAGTATATTGAGAAACTGTGATATTCTCTTATTTCTCAGGCGTTTTTGTGGAAGGAATGCCAGCATCAGAGATATTTTTAATTTTGTTGCTCAGTCCAGCTGCTTATAACCTGTGAGGCAGGCAGTGATATTGTCGTCCTTAGAGCTTGCAGGATTGTCTGATAACAGCAAGGCAGCTGGTCGGGCCAAGCGTGGCCAGAAATGCACTGTGTTCTCTACCTTCTCGAACCTTCTTCTTCTGGTATGTTTGGATTCCACCAGCTTGTGCATGGCCCGGATGTTCTTTGACTGATTGTGTGACGGGCGTCCCCAGATGCGGCCTTCAGAACCAGGCCACAGAGACTAGCAACTCTCCTGTGGGTTCTCGCTCTGCTTTGTCCTTTCTCTGACGTCCGAGGCGTCATTCGAAGTTGGACAGTTACTTCCACCTCTTCCCCCATCCTTACTCCAACGTTTCTTCGCCTCGTCCACTGGTTTCGATGCTAGCATGTTTTACTAGGAGGATCAGCGTGGCTGTCACACGTTGGGATTTCTTTCTGTGCTATCATTTCAGGAGAACGTTGTATTTATTGCTTCTGAAAACAGCAGGGATAATGTGAACTAATGACCTAGTGGAAGGCCTAAATAATACGTTTCACTATTTGGGCCTTTAAATTTGTATTTTCATTAAAATAATACTATGTGCAAAGTTTAAAAAGCCAACAGTTCCAAAAGGCCTTTCATGGAAAAAATGTAGTCCTGCTCACTTCCTCTGTACTACCCTCAACTTTTCCAGCTGTTTCTCCTGATATTTACCTCCATGTTTCTAAATATTTTCATATTGCTCTGTGAGGAATTTCCAGACTTCCCCTTGTGCGGGAGGAGAATTGAACACTCTCGGGCAGCCCCTGTGCCCACTGCATTTTCCTTCTCTCCCCCTGCCCCCCTTTAATTTTGAAACTATTTTCTGATCTCGAGGTATTTGTTAGGTTCATCCCAAATAAGCAATAAGTCAGGCTTCCCGTTCTCAGTTGAGTCATTTGACTCTATTCTCAGTGGTTCACATTAGAACATTTCTCGAATACCTAACGTGCCGATAACTGAACAAACTACGTTAAAAGACTTTTTCTGGGTAGATGGACCCAATACAGTAAGTAAGAGTGGACTGGAGACTCACAGTATGCTTAGAAGAAGAACCCAGGAAAGCTTATTGCTGTGGTCTTCCTAGATAGTTCAGGTGATCTTGAACATAAATGGAAATCGAGGCTGCGAATAAACTTAGGACTTCTTACAAGTCTGTGACAGATAGTGCAGTCTTATCTGCCCTTTCTTAGAGAATACATGTGGCGCAGGCATTTGCAAACTGGAATCTAATGCCCTCTGTCACCCCACTCTGGTAATACTTAATCTGGGCATAATTAGCTAACCAAAAAAGATAGGAAAGAGATGCCAAGGCCAAAAGCACTTAGAACTGAGCACTCCATCCAGCAAGGGGTGCAATCAAGTTTTTTCTCCACCCCGCTCTCCTCTGTGACTCTTAGAGCAGACTTGGGACACAGGGTTCAGATGGCTTGGAAAATTCTTCTAGGCCACTGATAAGATCAAACAAGGTCCTGGAAAATTTTTATCTCAGGGAATTGCAGTTGTCAGGGCTTCCTGTAGAGTAATAATATGTGGCAGTTAGGGTATGGGAAAAAAAAAAAACCAAACCAGCAGAAAGTCATTTTATGAGAGGAAAACCTGAACATTCCATTAGAACAGTTCAACTCACCCAACTGTAGTCTGTTGTAACAACTTAAATAGATGATGGGAGGGAGGTAGAAGAAGGTGAAGGGGGTCAAATATATGGTGACAGAAGGTTTAACTTTGGGCGGTGAGCACAAAGTGCGATACACAGATGACGCATTATAGAATTACACCCTTGAAACCTACATAATCTTATTAACCAATGTCACCCCAATAAATTCAATAAAATTTAAAAAAATAGGTGAAACAAAATCATGAGATTGTCGTGAATCAAACTGAGAAGACAGAGCAATAAGTAACAGGAACAAGCTTTTCGTAAAAATCACGTGTCTCTGAATTTCTGTGAAGTAATCATCAAAATAAATCTGATATGATTTAGTCTGAGTTCATTCATTCATGCATGCATTCATTCGTTCACTGCGTACCATATGCAAAATCTGTATATGTGAGGGGCCAAGAATGCAGAAGGAAAGAAAGGCAACACAGCCTCAGCTCTTAAAGATTCACAGCCTAGCACACAGAGCATTCTGCAGACACAAACGGAAGGAAGCGCGCCCATGGGGACGGCTTAGGCAGAGGGCCCTGACTGGGCTGTGGCGCCTGGGAATGTCGGTTCCCATAGAAGCTCGTATCAGATAGTTGAGCTAAAGGTCAAGGATCAAGGTCAAACATCTCAAGGTCAAGGATGGTGTAATTTAGGAAAAGAGCGTAGGGGAATGGGAGAAGATGTTCTGGGCAGAGGAGACAGCCTGGGCCAAGTCCCTGTGGTGGGAGAGAAGGGGAAGCACTTGAGGAACTGGAGGATGGCCACAGTGAGCAGAGGTCAGGGTCACGGACGGGAAAGTCATGGAAGGTGAGGCTGGAGGGCTAGGCCGGGCCGATACCAGGCGGTCAAGGATTTCAAGCGGGAGAAATAGCAAACCACTCGCCTGCAGGGCGCAGGGTGGACGAGACCTTGTGCGTGCGGGGTAGCCATTCAGTAAGCTCTGACTGTGGAGCTGCTGACGGCCTGTGGTTTGGGTGGGGCTCGCAGCTGCGGATGGATGCAGGCAGTCCGGAGGGGGTATATGGATGGGACCTGACAGATTGGATATGATGGATGAAGAAGAGGGAGAGATCCAGGATGGTGCTTAGGTTTCTGACCTATATATAGAATGTGCTAGAATGAATGATATTATCTTTTTTATTTTAAGAATCTTTCTAATGGTTTTCTACAAATGAGTACTTTTGGTATTCTTTTCCACAAAGATTGACAGGTTTGCTTATGGAGAGTCTTTAGGGAGTGAAGTGGCCAGCGGGAGAGGGCGGTTATTATGGGAGGGATGTGAATACGAAAGCGGGAGGCCCCAGACATCCAGAGCTCGAAGTGTGAACATTGCCCAGAACTGACAGGTTGAGTTATGACAGGAGGAAGGTCATCAAGACGCCTCTGATGAATTTTTTACAAGTGATTTGAATGAAAGATGAGAAGCAGAGACAAGAAGGAAACGTACTGTGAGGCCTGTATAAAGTATGACTGTCTTCGAATAGGAAAACTGGAAGGAATATCAGATTTTATTGTTTATGGAACATCCTTACCCAATGATCATTCCTCTAAAAGCAAAGCTCGAAATCGGGGAAATGATATTTTTACAAGTTGACAAGACCAGATTTGTTTTGTTTTTCTAAGGTGATTGATATGCCGGAACACAACCCTGGCAATCTGGGAGGAACGATGAGGCTGGGAATAAGAAGAACTGTTTTCAAAACTGAAAATTCAATCTTAAGTAAGTTTCTCAGATCATTTGTTTTATAAGACGTCGAGTGTCATTTGCTTTGGTCCTTCCACCTCTCCCGTTTCCCTTCCAGCGGCCTCAGGGGCTCCGACTTCCTATCACCTGTCCCCTCCCCCACCCCCAAACGTGTCTGCTCCTCCTGCTTCCCCATTCTTCTCCCCAGAAGAGTCCCACGTGAACACCCCTTCTTATTTGATCTTCTCGATGCCCTGTCCGGCGCTCTGGGGATGTCCTCCCTTGGGAAGAGCCCTGATCCCAACTCAGTTCTTTTGAATCCACTGTTCTCACCACTACATTTAAACTCCCCGTTTAATTATTTCACGTCTGCTTGGTTTTAGCCACTAATTCAGGAACTTCTTGAGGAAGAGGGCAGTTATGTCTCAGGAGGCTATTTCTCTGTCCCCCCAGTGGCTCCAGCGTGGGGAGAGGAAAATACCATGCGCTCATATTTAGCGATCTCCTCCCGATAAGATTATTCTAAATTCTGAGGAATTTTGCCCCAACATTAACATACCCCATGAGAACAACTTAATGTAAAAAAAAAAAAACAAACCCAAAGCCCTTAATTCAATTTAGTAAATATATCTTGAGTGCCTACTCTGTGCCATACGCACCATGTGAGATTCTGCCCGTGCAGAATCTCATAGTGACCAGGACAGATACCAGTCCTGCCCTTCCGGGGCCTCAAAACAACTAGAAAGAAATGCATGAAAGGGGACACACATGCTGGTAGAAGGGCCAGCTGCAGAGGAGGGAGCCCAGGTCCCTGGGGCGGCCAGCCTCGCTCCCAGGAAGTTATAAGAATGCCTGAGAAAAATGCCTTCTTACCTCACAGAAAAATAAGACCAGAAATATGAGTTTCTCCTTTAAGGATGATAAACAGCTTCTAAGGAATATAAAGCTTCCTAGCAAGAATGAAATTGAAAAAGGAGAAGTTTCAAAGTACACGCATTTCCCTACTTTCTCTGGATAAGAAACCGTTAAAAAAAAAATCGTTGTTCTCTAAGTGACCGTTTTCTTTATAAGATTTTTTTTCTCTTTGTGGCTATTAGCATCGATTCTTTGGCTTTCAGATGTTTTCGAATACTTTGAAACTGTGTTCAAATGATTGCCTAAGTGACAAAATATAGAAATTTAGTTTTGAAATTACATCTGCTATAAAAGATTCAGTGATAATTGTACTAAGCTTTTTTTTTTAAAGCACGTGTTTAATATATTTAAAATTTTTATTTGTCTTGATGGAAATAAGACGGATTCAGGATTTGATTTTCTTTACAGTAGCCGTAAAAGTAATGTTGATGATTTTTATGAATTTTAGATAGAACACCAAAGCTTGTTGCTTAATGTCTTTTGCCTGCCTGGAAAAAAATTTTAAACAGCTTTATCGAGATATAGTTTACATACCATACAATTCATCTGTTAAAAGTGTACAATTTACTATTTTCTAATGATTTCACAGAGTTGTGTAACTATCACCACAGTCAATGTTTGAACATTTTTACCACTTCAAAAACAAACCATGTTCCCTTTAGCTATCAACACCACTGCTCCAGGCCTAAGTTAATCTAGTAACCGTCTCTGTTGATTTGCCTCTTCTGGACATTTCATAGAAATGGAACCATATGACATGTGGTCTTCTGTTTGGCTTCTTTCATTCAGCATAATGTTTTGTTTGTTTGTTTGTTTGTTTTTTAGCATAATGTTTTTAAGGTTACATCCGCACTGTAACATGTATCAGTCCTTCATTCCCTTTTATGTCTGAATAATATTCCACTATATGGCTATATCACAATGTCGAGACTTTCCTCAGTTGGTAGACATTTGGGTTGTTTCCAGGCCTGCCTTAAATTGAAATTATGCTTCACGGTTTTCAAAAAGCATATGGATATACAAACCTAGGGTCCCCAGCAGGCATAAGGTTTTGCCCTCCCACCTGTGTGAGGTCTTCCATAGGTCTCCCCAAAAGGTAGTGTCATAGGTAAGAGATAAGCATGTGACCACTGTGCATGGCTCCATTGCATGTGATAAAAATATAAAAACAAGTAGCACCACAGTGTGTTGTGGGTGTTTTTTCCTAGTTGGCATATTTCTTTTGGAGGAGCTTATCTTTTTCCCAAGCCGGCACACTTCTTTTGTAGGATATTTTTTCCTCTAGTCAGCCCATTTATTTTATAGACTTTTTTTTTTCCTAGTCAGCACTTTTCTACAGGAATAGTAGGAATACATTTGGCCACATTGCCAAATAACATCGTTTAGATGAAAAGCATTTTGATGCTATTCATTCTTTATTTATATTTGATTTATAGGCCAGCGATGGCAATGCTCGGGATTAAATAGAAAAACAGGAAAGTAAAGAGGTGTTTTTTTGTTGTTGCTTTTTTAAGTTTTTTAGTCAAAGAGAGTGCTTTGAAATAGGACCAAAGCCTAAAGGTATCAATAGACACAATGGCTGGATTACGAGAGCGATTGTAATTTTTATATTGATCAAGAACGGTTCCTCTTTTCTTCTTAGTCACCTGTTAGTTACTTAAGGGTTATGAAAACTATGAATTTGATTTTTCTTTTTTTTAACCACTTTATCGAGGAAGGGTTGACATACAAAAAGTTGTACATATTTAATGTTTATACAACTTGAGTTGAATTCGAGTTTTCTGAAGTGGAAATTGTGGTATAAATTGATTTGGACAAAAGTTCTGTTGATCGTCATTTGCTCTATTTATAGGAAATGCGTTCGCAGAGGCTCACTCTCATGTTCTGTGTGTGTGTTGTCTTGGTCTGCAAAGGATTTTTCTTATAAAAGGACTAATTGTGTGTATGGAATTATCAAAACTGGTTCAAGGGTCTTTAGAAATAAGGTATTTTTCCAAACCGTGTATCTCTAACCCTTCTCCTGAGTATTAATTGCATATTCATGGTATTTTCCAAACTTTATCTATCGTGCTTAGTTTTTATATAGGCTTTTACTGTATCGAGACTTTTTCATATATCTAGTGTTCATGTGCATTATTTGGGCATGTCATTTTTAATTGAGTTAAGGAACTATAATCTACTGATTCTTTTCTTACTGTTAAAAATTTCAGGTTGTTCCCCGCATTTTGTTAGAAAAACACTCATGGGAACATCTTGACACAGTGTTTATGCGCTTTTAATTATTTCCTCAGCATAGATTTCCAGGAGTCGGAGCATTAGGTCAGAGGGTATGAACATTACCCTTTGAATTATGACTAATAATTCTGCCAGATTGTTTGAAAGAAGAGGTGAACCAGTTCATAATGATGTTAACTGTACTGCATGTAGTGTTCTTTCTTTCTCTCGTCTTTTTGCTGGTATATTTATTATTTTTCTTGCTCCATTAGCAAGAACGAAAAGGGCCCTTTATTATCGTACTTTATTTTCCATGTCTTTCCATTGCTACAAAGTAGAAGGTCCCCCTCCCCCAAACGTTGACTTACTTGTGTGTATACTGCCCATGTTTCAAGTCGCCACTAGCAGTTAAACGTGGGAATTGAGCCATCTACCTGCCTAAAGTCTATTACCTAAATGGTCTAAACCAGGGCTCCATAAATGTTTTCCGTAAAGGGCCAGAGAGTAAACAGTTGTGGCTTTGAGGCCATATGGTCTCTGTCACAACTACTCAACTCTCCCTTCATAGTATAAAAGCAGCCACAGGTAAGTATGTAAATAGACGAGCGAGGCTGTGATTTACTAAACCTTTATTTATGGCACTGAAATTTGAATTTTATGTCATTTCCATGCATCATGAAATATTATTCTCCTTTTGACTTTTTTCAACCATTGGAAAATATCAAAACCATTCTTAGTTCAAGGGCTGAACAAAAACAGCCAGGGGAATCCCGTTTCTCTTCAGGGTTGCCATGGTCTGTGGCACCCCGGTCTAAACAGGAGAAGCACAGGCTGAATGAAACAGATGCCAAGGAACGAGGTCGCCGTCCTGGAGAGCATTCAAGGACATCTCCCGCTCGTCTGCTCGCCTGCCTACGTATCCTATTTAGTGACAGAATAAGGCCAAGAGGGCTTTCCAAGTCCATTTGCTCCACCTCTGTATTTGTCAGCTGAGGGAGCGGAATGGCCTGTGAAATGGCACTTGGTCCGTGGGTGGTCAGAGCAGGCCCAGCCACTCTTGTCACATAGTTTCTGGTCTCTACAGGAACACACTGTCCTGACTCCACAGCCCACCATTACAATCACTCCAAAATGTAACTCTTAAAACACGCATTTTACGATTGTTAAAACTCGCCGAACACTTTACCCTTCAGATCTGTATATTTTATGACATGTAAATTATACCTCAGTTTGAAAAAAAAAAAACCAAAAAATAAAAAAACGTTTTATCTGGGAATGTGGTCGGTAGGACTTTTCTCCTTATAGTGACGCCTTTACTTGGTCGATTAACTCATTGGACGACTTTTAAAAAGCAGGGAGAAATGGTGCAGAGCAGGTGCTTTGAAGAGAAATCTAGTATGAGGCGTGTGGCTAGAGATGGAGGGGGTCAGGCCCAGGTGATAGGGGAACCAGAGAGAGCGCTGAGGAACTTTGTTATGAAAAGGTTTTAAGACTCCAAAAGTAAACTTTATCGCTTTGCCTGTGGCTCAGCTGAGCATGAGAGATGGGAAGATAATAAAGTTCAAAGCAATTTAGACAAGATTCAGAGCTCAAGGTTCAGGGGACAGCTGACAACTTCTCTGATGTGTTTCCAAAATATTCCAAGCCCCAGGCTTAAAGGTTTGGACTGGTCCCAGACCCGTTGCCGAGACTTGCCTTGGCTTGGAAGCAGGTCTCTGTCCACGCCGAGTGTGGTTTTCAAACCAAAGTGTCACCAGTGGGAAAGAATATGTGTCTCAGACCAATGAGTCACATGTTTGAATAGGGGACATTCTGGTGTATGTGCGCTGGTACTAAACCCAATTTAAAGCAGTCCCAATTGTACATGCAATTGTGTAACTCTGTCCTCCAAATCAGCGCCCAGATGG